AAAAATTATCGAGATACTGACTTCTTAACGTTATTTTATCATAAATAATTAAAAGTGCATCGAACCTTAAAAATCGAAATATCTCAAAAACGGCTAACTATAACGAAAATTCACAAGAGAACTTTTTTATGTTGAAAAGTGCGAAGAATCAGTTTTTTTATTCAAAAAGCAAAAAATTGCACTAAGAAAAAAATTTCGGACATTTTAATGCACTACAGGTACAGTAGAGAGCGCCCTCTAGTAAGGTAAAACCATGCCCATGGTTCGTTTTGTCGTATCAAAAAACCCTTGTATACCAATTTTCACTGTTATACATCAAATATTGTTCAAAATATTTAAAAAAAACTATTTTAGAAAGTAAATTTAAACACCCTGTATTTCGGAAGCCACGCATTTTTCGACCCATGTTTATATAGACTTTATGCATTAATTTTAAAAGTTCTATCGAATCTTAAATTTATGCAACAATAAACTGAAACACCCTGTATTATAGCTGTTAATTCTATACGAGAACTAGCGACTAGCCAGTACACAAGTTGACATTATACCGATGTTTATTGACATTATATCGATTTTTCAAGTAATGCCCCTGCAGCAAGACTAGATATAGGAGGATGAAGCCAAAAGTGTCGACGATAGAGGTGGAGTTATCTCGTACCCTGCGCGGCAGGGATATTATGTTAAAGACCTGAAGAAACGTCAAAAGAAAAACCGAAAAAATGTAATCTTGCAGACTAGGTAGTCTAGTGGCAAACAGTTCATCCCACGTTTGCTCGCTATGATCGCTGTGAGCGTCATCAAAAGCGTCCATCTATAGAGGAATTACTCAGCGACACGACACACTCAAGCATGCATGGTTCGCTGCAGAAAGCCAAGTAGTGACTATCTCTGAGAAGATGTTAAGGAAGGAAAGTCGGTTGAGTATCAAGATCGCATCTGGATGATTATGTATATTGGTCTGCATTTGGGTAACATCAGTTATATTTGCTATGAGAGAAAGTTATTACTGAATATGCTGCCAATGAAGTATATCTAATACCTGTTCCCGACGGGCTATTTATAGATTGTCCTTTCTGAGCATAAGTTAAAAACTTCGATTTCTTTCGTTTTTTTTTTGTGTTTTCAAAAACTTTGAGGAGAATGTCAAAAAACCGACAAAATGTCAATTTTCAAGATACGTAATATCCGTACGAGTTATGAATTTCAGGCAATAGAATCTCTATCATATCTAAATGTCTCTCTCTTGCTGTCATCATGATCGTAAACAACTCCAATTTTGACAGTTCAGATGAGTTGCAAACAGAAATATTGGACAATAGTAATGAGCCAACAAAGCATGGCAAAACGTGAGTGACGCCTACTGGCGAGGAAGCTTTGTAACCGCGAAAAAGTACAGATATGAGGGATATTTCTGTCGGTCTGTATGTCGGTATGTCCGCTAATCTTTGACTTGGAAGGTACCTCTCGGACTTTGATGAAATTTTTGCACAAAGTTACAAGGACGAAAAAGCTTTGTAGTTTTTGCAAATCGGTTCAGTAGCGGTGGAGCTCGAACTTCGTCTTTGAGTAAATCAGAGACTCCTGTTCATTTTTGATTTTTTTTTCTTGAGGGGTGAAGTATTGGGGGTGAAAGGGGGGAACGGAGTGGGAGAGGCCTTATTACAATAATTCTTTGTTATTAGTGTAATTACATGCTACTATCCCTGGCACTTGTACAATACCTGTTGGAAATATTCCACAAATAAGTTTTCCCTACATTTGTCTTAAAATTTAGCTGTAGAATGAAATATTTCTTCCGATACGGAGACATTTATCTACGGTGGTAAGGATGCAGACTCTAACAGTCCTCTAGCCTGGCGGTTTAGTCATAACTAACGTAGCTGTTATTGGTTAGTGCTAAAGGGTGTGGAGTAATAGTCAGGTCAGGTAAACCCAAAAATGGAGTCAAGCGTGAAAAGTATAATAAGACACTTATTGAACTATGTTTCAGTATGCACGCATACATCTTTAGCAGCTTGACAATTTGTTAAGAAATGACAATTTAAATAGATCCCATTTAGGAAAACCCGTGGAAAAAAGTCACCCGGACATGATGTAAATGTAAATATATCCACTTTCACAGATAAAAGATGGTAACAAACTCGATTATTCTTTTTGGCCCAGATAATTATGAGGTTCAACTTCTGCACTAGTCCAGTTACTTATTAAATCTAAACATTATTTTATACAGTGTGGGGACTAAGGGCTAAATGTATGGGTCTATTTGAATGATCCGACTTATTTAATTCATTTGGTGTATACTTTTTTGTAGGGCTAACTTGTGCCGAAAATAATACTTTATGAACTAGTGACAGCTTCGCTGGGAAGTGCAGAGTGAAGCTACTTGCTGCCTTTTTTTATAATGTCATCATATTGAGCATTGAAAGTGCTGCTAACAAGGTTATCTACTTCAAAAATTAATAGTTTTCGAGATTCGCCTTTAGCCATGACGAGGTTGACAGTATTGTTTATTTCCATTTGAAAAGATCTACTTTTTTTGAATTTTACCTTTTGACAGCATTTGTTATCGAAATTCGGAATAAAAAACTGCTAAGGTTTTGGCCTCCACCTGTTATTCTGAACCCGAGTTTTCATAACTGCGCTGCACTTATACGTAAGACGTATACTCGTTCCAACGTACTTTCTGAAGTCGTCGAAGCTCCTACGAAACTACTCAATAATACCTAGTTGTATACTGGTAACTTAGAGTAGCTGCAGTACTCGAAGTTTTGAAGTACCTAGGGAGTACCTAATTATACTGATTAAGGTTTCTTGAAGTATGTCAAAGTATAGGTATTGAAAACAGTACAACTTCAATACAACAGAAACAAAAGGCACTGCAAAATGTCCCCAAAAAAATTTTCAATAATGATCCAGATCCTCTAAAACGGCAAAAAACAAAGTTTGTGTTATTTTTTTATTTTTCATTTTTGGCTTGCAACTCCGCCGTCACCGGATTAATTTCTTTCAAAAAGTATGGAGCTTTTGATTCTTGGATAGTAGTAACATGGTGGTAACCTAACTAGCGAAGTAGTGATATAAGCTTTTGGTAAAAGAACCGTTCAGCCATAAAAGCTCTCTATTGTTGTTGCCTGAACACCAAAATGCTGGCTTAATGTTGTGTGGAATGCAAATTTGCTTTCTGCAACATATTTGCTCTAAAATGAGGTGTTTAAAATATTCTTGTAGCACCTTATAGGGCAAATTTTTAACTGTTGCATAAACGTTTATACAACTATTTTATACGGCATATTTGCAAGTTAGTCAACGTAGTTGTGTTGTGGCACCCATGCTAACGTTTATAAAGCAAACCCGAGCCTTGTTGCTTTGCTGTGCAATTTACTACATTAGCCAACAAATTGCTCCCAACGGAAGCACTTATACAACTGTTACATATGCTAAATATGTTGGTAAACAACTTCAGCATAACCTAACTTTATGCTGTCATATTTTTGTTAAAATGCCATAACCAATGTTTTAAGACAAACAACGCATGCATATCGGTTCAAAAGGTTTCATCAACGGTTCAAACAGAAGATATAGATCTGGTACAAATTCTGGGTAAAACATTCGACTCTGTCGGTATTTCATTTCAGACATTTGTCAAATTGTTGTATAACACCTGCAGGCAACACCAAAATATTCTAATAACCTAAAGACAACATGGACGATGCCATGATAGTACACAACCACCCGCCATATTGGGCAAACATTCATTCCTCTATTTAATATTAAATGTTTCAGTTCGAAATTACAGATAAAAAGTGATAAACATTAGTGCAATTGTGTCTAAATATAGGATTTGTGGAAGATTTAACGCAGATAAGTTCAGTTTTCCATCTTAAAAATCTAGACATACTTTTGATCATTGTCAAAATAAGAATCAAATACAAAGCCCGTAGAAATTGGGTAACTAATTTGCACAATAATCATAATAAAATTTGCTGCGCAAGTAATTCAATAGCCCTATATCAAAGTGTAGAAGTTTATCATATACCTGTGTATGAAATTCACAATGGCCGATATGTAAGTAAACAAGATGACTGTAATGTGTTAGTTATATATTCTTCACTTCGTCTATACAATACATAGGAAATAGTTTGGTTGCAATAAAGCAGAATCACGTAAGAGAATAGTTGTATAATTGACAAAAACTGAATCTTGCACTGACGCAAATGTCCTATAGCGGCTGCAAGAGGCTTACACTTTTGTTTTATAACTGCTACCTGCAGCCCTTATACAACCTCTTAAATGACTGAAGTGTCCTATTAGGTGTGCCCATTCCGCTTCTACAGCTGTTCTAAGAGGGTTTTGCTAATGTTCTTACAGTATACAATGCTGTTTAAGGAATACTGTACAATCATTCTTGCAACTCTAATAGGAGTGATAATTGTTAGTTGGGAAGAATATCATCAAAATCCGACCGGTGCTTTAGGGTTAAGGATTAGCGGACAGACCGACAGCCAGACAGACCAGCAACCGTTTCTCGTGTGAACTAAGTCATATAACATCCCAAAATCATAGTATCTCATTTTCAAGAATTTTTGCGATTATAATATGTACTTCCTCGTCGGTAAGAAGTGTGAAATAAAATCAGACAAACATTTTGACAAAAACACCAACCCTTTCCTCATTCGTTAACGTTTCAAAATGGCTGTGCAAACGGAGAACTTTGGACCCGCAGATACTTTTTATTAACATTAGATGTTCGATAGGGTGTAAAAACTTCAGAAATGCCGGTAATCTTTTTTCCAGAAGGGATGAAAGGTTGTGTTGCTGGGAAATCGAACATGCCCAAATATCCAAAATGTAACCCCTAATGAATTCCTCGAAAATTACCTGCACTTAGCATTCGTTATGTCCGGATTAATTATAACTAACGGTGGCAAACCATAAACCCATAATGTTCAAAGCACGGGTCGCTGCCACCGACCGATCACTAACAGCCGCATTTGACTGTATCGGACATTCAGAAATCAAGAGCCTTGTCAAGGTCCCCTCGGACCGCTAGTTATAAGCCAAATGTTAGATAATATCGCACAAAATGCGGTGTGGTGCCTGAACCGGGCGGAGAGTGACAGACAGACCGACAGACGGACAGCGGGCAAAGGCGAGGATCAAGCAGCATGAGATCGGGAAGTTTAAGTGGCTCGAGCAGAGCTTTGGTGGTAGTTGCTGCTGTTTTCGGATGGATGCAGCTTGCACATGCACAGGAGAACAACGTCTGTCTCACGTTCAAGGATTACTACACGGTCAAGAACAACTCGAATTGTTGGTATAACCCGGCGGCTGTGTATAAAGCGGTAAGTTGGAGCACATGCAAAGTGGAAATGAAACCATAGCTTAAATGGGTTAAAAAATACAGAAATGTCGCTATGGTTTGTGATGAAAGTGTCCGTTTCACCTACTTCCGCCAAAAAATAAGAAGCGTATTGGGTTTTGTGAAAAAGGATTCCAATAAAACTTGCTTGAGTGTCTGTTTAAAAAATGAGTTTCGTTAAAAACAAAGTGCGTAAGCCATTTCAAGCATTCGGGCATTCAGACCATTATTTATCTCAGCAATTGCCAGAAGTTTTTTAAAAACATTCTTTATATCTTGCAATATTTTAAGCAAACTTTGAATAAGGTTTCCTTTAACAAAGAGGTGCCCTCTGAGCCTTGCATCATATTTATGTTACCTTCCTTGTAGTTAGTTTTGTGATGTCTGTTAGATGCGATCTCATAGTATAATTTTCACCCAACTGTTTTGATGGATGACGGATGATTCGTCAATGAGAGCTAAGCAATGATACCTACTCTTGTGTCTAGTTGTTGTTAATGTAAGTAAATCAGTAAAAAAAACCTAAAAAAACTGATGAAAGACTATCCGAGGCGGGTCACTTTTACTTGCCATGTTAATCAGCGAGAGAATATCATCTCGAACTTAAAATATTGCGTTTATACATGACATGCACAGCATGAACTCTTTTTCATAGATCTGTCTGTCGGTCGGCCTTTTTATTATGTTTGGATCCTACATAGTTTTCAAAGTACAATGTTACTACCGCACAAGGTATTAAATAAATCGTCAAGTTGTGGAAATCGTCGTAGTGGTAAGCAAGAGATTAAAGTTTTCCAAGCGTCCCCAAACCTTGTTCTTCGACGTCCGTGTTTCTGATAGTATTTGGAAGTATTTAGTAAAAAAATAATTCTATTTCAGGCACATTTGTTTCATTCAAGTAATTTGAGATTGGCATTCCCGAAATTTTCGATATTGATAAATATGACCCTTAGAATCACTATGTAACCAAAATATTCAATCTATATAAATCATGTGTAAGTTAATCTAATTGAGTCCATTATTTTTATCAAACAAACCACTTTTCATAATTATTAGAAATTTGGAAAGATCGACACTACCGTATTAATTTTATGTATATTATAAGAGCATGTCCAAGTTAACATTAGCCTTATTTTTTATTTTATTTTATTTTTTTTGCGGTCTTTGTAAGTGGTTCTAAATATGAACTATGACATGTTTTCAAAGCAGGCCTCAAATCATTGTAGAGGCGTTACCCACATCTATAAGGCACAAATTTATTTATTCGCCTGAGTTACTTGTTCAAGGTTACTGTCAGAACCGCTAGTATTCGGATGATAGTTTCTGTCCTTCACACACCATCTGAAATGAATTCAGAACCATCTTCATTCTCTGTACCACTATCATATTCATTGTTTTCACTACCAATCAATCTCCGTTTAATATTCATCTTGGAATTTATGTAGCTCAAAACTTGCTTGGCGTTAAAATGTTTGGAATATCGTGTTTTTTTAAAGCTATCACCGACAAAAAATCAACTTCAGATATATATCTACACCACGGGTGCATCTAGATGGAAATGTGGGCCTTTATTCAAATATGGTTTAGGTTCAATTCAATTCAGTTAATATGCCAAAAGGATCTACGATTCACGGATATTATATGAATCACGAAAACCAAATAGTTCATAAATAAATAACCTAAACAATTGAACATGTAAAATATTATTTTAAAAATTTCTACATTGAAAGAACTCCTGTATGGATTAAAATGCACCATCCAGTAGGAATTTCTTGAGAGCACTCTTGAGTCTTTTTCCATTAAGTCATCTTATAGTATTTAGACTTCGGCAATGAATTAAGAAGATTATGGTCCATATAAAAGAGACTGTGTCCTTAAGTAGATGTATAATGATCTGAAGGATTTACAGGTCTTAGTTTAATAGCTATGAATGTCAGAATTTTTTTCATTTTGTATGGACTTTTGTATTGCAAATAGCACATATTTATACAGGGTGACTTCGAAGTTGAGTCATTTATTTTAACAGTGAGTAGATCTGATCAAAAGAAATGTTTTTTTCCTTTACCATTTTTCTGGTAAAATTAAAGTAACAAAGTTATAGCCCTTTGGAAGTTTGAGTACCGCCCTGTCTCAATAATATCATGTACTCGTGTTTGGCAACAACGGATATAATCCACCTTATCGGTTCATCGCATCGGAAACAAAAAAGCGAAAGAATTTGGAACGATGTTTATTTTATTCAGTTCAGTTATACATACAGTTAGTGTCAGTCGCGTGTGAATAGTGTCTGTTGCGTGGCTTAAACGAAATAAAAAATGGCACATGTTTATGCGGATCGGTTTCCCAATCGAGTGCAACCAACCCCTCGTGCCTTTGTTAATGTAGTACAACGGGCTCGTGAATCAGGTGACTTCAGACCTCACAGGGGACCTCACGATCAAATACAGGTCCGCACTGAAATACTTGTCGGGAGGATAGTTTATAAAACAAGGTAAAAATTTTTTTTATTTTTTTTTTATTTTTACACACATATTTTGGTTTATCTTCCTTCTACAATCATTATCTGAAAATTAATGACTCAACTTCAAAGTCACCCTGTATATCTAAAGGCATGATTGGGTTAAAACACTGTCTTCTAATCAACTGAATTACCCGTTTTTGTGAAAATAAAATTATTTTTGTTGACTGTAAAATGGATATTCAGGAGTTGGGAGATTCCTTGTTGCCCCAATATATCGTGACAATCTTCATAGAGACTATCCTAGTTTTTCATTACTTTCTAAAATATACTAGGTTGCAAATCCAGTATAGACTTTTTCATATTATAGTTGGGAATGAATATTAAAAATAACGCTGGTCAAAGTCCAAACACGCTTTATAAGTAAGCTCTTTGTTTCAATTGCTCTATCCGGGGTGGTCTATTATTGTAGTGGTCTTTCATCATTTTGGCGGCTTTCAAAAGACAATGCCTTTATAATACTGGAACTGAGGAAACAGGAGCCTATTACCTTTATGTTGTATTTCGTATGATATCCAGGCCCTTTGATCAACAGAAAGGGTCCGTACGTTGATTTGATGGCAACAAATATTGCCTCGAAATAAAAATGGCATGTACGAGCGAAGTACGATGGTTCAACGGAGTATCCAGAAAACACAAGAACTTTATCTTTGCCATTTTTCCAGATGCTTGAATACCCTATTTTCTAACAAGATAATGCCCACAATGATATTACTAGAGCTACATTACTACCTGATCAACGCTCCTAGATCTCTAGACCTTTCACCCATTGAAAAGTGACCTCTTTACCTGACCCTCCACAAACGCTATCTTTTAATATCACTACTATGCCATGCTCATGTATGTCTACAATTCGTTTAAATGATCCCATATTTACTGGCTGTTATATCTTATTTGTCACCGAGTATGTAATATCATGCAGAAAAGTACTTGTAGGTTTTAAGTTCCTGATCAGCCTCGATCACCTAGTCATTTTGAGGAGCATTGGCGTCCACTAGGAAGGGACGAGGTGGGATATTTTACTCCTGAGAAGTAAAATTTACATAACAGAGTACCCCTTTCTTGGACGAGGGCATGTGAGACATTTTACTCAAAACATCGGTACATAGAAATTATTCTTTCTATTGCCGGCTTAAAGAGCTAGCAACTGCTTGAAGCTGATTGACTGAGACTGTAAGCCTAAATTGCTCTCCCCTCATCTGAATTTTGCTATACGGTCGTCCATGTTGAGGAGTTTCGATATCTGAATACTCAGTTTGCACACGTTGCTCAAGTTGCCGTTGTTTATTCGCGTTAATGCCAGTTTTGAGGATTCAACTTTAACACGTGCAGCCCCCTGGGCGGGGGTGACACCAATACTAACATCTTAAATGGAAAGGGGGGTCGAGTGATACCTTATTTTAAAGGTCTTTCAATTCCCTTTATAATTATGTAGAATATATGAGCTTCAGTTCAGTAGTTTTCAAGATTTATTGATTTGAAGCTCAAAGTAGACTTTAATAGGTACATCAGATTAGATTGTACTACTTTCAGAAGAAATTTGACTGAAAGAATTTACTTCGCCCATGGTTTGTTTATCATTTTGTTGTTGAAAATAGCTATTGGAGCGTTTTTTGTGGCAAAAAAGTTATTTCTTGAAGAAAGATAAGGAAATATCTCGTACTTATTTTAAATAGGAATTTAGTACATAGTTTGCGATTGATTTGACCAAACTTTGTTGCTAAAATAACTTGTAACGCATTATTACATAAATTAACCATGGTATATTCCACAGCAGAAAGAGTTGAAATTATCGAAATATTTTCGGAAATAATCAGTGCGCTAATAGAACAACAGAAATATTTAATGAGCGACATTTGAACAATAACGTGCATAAAAAATATGTTCTAGAACTTGTAGCTAAATTTCGGGAAACTGGGTCAGTCGCCAATAAAAAACGCAACATTGAAAATCCCATAAGGAACGAAGCAATAGAAGTGGGGGTTTTAGGGCAAGTTTATGTAGATCCTACGTTAAGTACCCTCAAATTGGAGACTGCGTGTGGTGTTAGTCGACGTACTGTCCACGGATTCTAAAGGCTCATAGTTTTCATCCGTATAAAATGCACCTGGTACAAGAACTTAATGAAGACGATTTTGATCGACGATTACAATTTTGTGAAGATATGAGTGAACGAGTTATAAACGATGAACATTTTCTATTCAACACTTGCTTTCCGACGAATGTTCCTTTTTCTTAAAAGGCGTAGTAAATCATCATAACTGCCGATATTGGTCCGATTCTAATCCCAGAATTTATCATCAGGTTCATACGCAGCAGCCACAAAAATTAAATGATTGGGCTGGTGTTTTTGGCGATCATTTAGTTGGTCCTTTTTTCTTACCTGGAAATTTGACCGGTGAAATCTATTTGGAATTACTGGAAGACGCCATAGATCCTGCATTAACAGCCATAATTGAAAATCAGAATGGTCGGCGGTACATTGCGAATAGGTTGATGTTCCAACAGGATGTGCCCCACCATATTACGCATTTAGATCAGACGTTTCCAGATCGATGGATTGGTAGAAGAGGTGCCATTGAAGGCCCCCAAGATCGACAGATTTATCACCTTTGGGTTTCTTTATGTGGGATCATTTAAAAAGCAAAATCTGTGCTACTCAGCCAACATCATTAGAAGACCTGCGACAAAGATTTGTGAATGAGTGCCTTCAAATTACTCCTCAAATATTGCAAAATGTGCGGCAACGTTTGGAGAAAAATCTTTATTATTGCATGGAGAGTCATGGTGGCCATTTTCAACATTTACTTGCCTAACGGGTCAGTTCATTTTTCATTTTTAAATTACTTTGCTGCCAAATGTATTGATCTCCACTAATGATGACGTATTAGTTTTATTTAAGCTTTAAATCAAATCATCAAAACTACTGAACTGAAGTACATTAATTTTATATCATCATAAAGGGAATTGAAAGACCTTTAAAATAAGTTATCACTCGACCCCCCTTTCCATTTAAGATTTTGGGGGTGGTGTCACCCGCGCTTAGGGGGCTGCACGTGCTAACGTGACTTTTTGCCAAACTTGTGTCCCCCTCGAAAACAAAAGCGACGGGTCTGAACGTTTCTCCAAAAAAAACTGTGCTGCCAGTAAATGCGTGTTTCGTTTTCGATGCGCCACCCTGTATATTTGCATATGTTGAAAGTGAAGAGCAGTGAAAATTAACAATAAACAGGAAAACGATATGCTCCATATCAATACGATTAATTGGTCTGTGGTAATGAGGAAAGTGTTACAATTATTACTGGTTTAAATAGCGTATAAATTCTATCGACGTAATATTCGTTTTTGTTATAAAATTTCATTAGTTCACTAATAATAACATTTATTGTTTCTCACTTTGACTGGATCTGCATCTTATATAGTAGTATTCTGCAAAATACCTCAACATCAATATCAGCATCATAGTAACGATATAAGCTTGAGGACGGATAGAGCTCATACGCCTCGGATTAATATCCAAAAAAATTATGAAGATCTTTGCAAAAGCGTACATGGTCAACATAATTGTAAGCATATATAATTGTTCCTTCTATTTCTCTTCAGACAACGTTTTGATGGATGCACTTCAGCTTTACTTTCACACAATTAAGTAACAAAGGTTACAAATAGTATTAAGACCGTTATCATTTTGCTTCCAAAAAAGGACAACCCGCTTTTTCGTGCTTGTCCAACACAATTTACATAGGTTCACATTTTCATTGTAAGATGTGACGAGCGTCACCTACCACTTAAGAGCTTGAAAATAGCGAAGCGTGCTTTCCAGAAAAATAGACGTGAAATTTTACCTCTGTAAAGGAAAAATCGTGTATTTTTCAATATTTTTGAAGCGCCACAATTCAAAAGTTTTTGGAAGAAATTAGTAAAAGATACACAGTAAGAAAGTCACCAAGACTTGTGTCCTTGTTTCTAAGAGGCGAATTAACGTTTCTTTCCATACATTTTGTACCCATCATACGGTTTAAGCTTCAAAAACACCTTTTAAATATTTGAGGCTATCATCTACGAGTTTAAAGAGAACATATACAAATATATAATAGCCGTAAAGCGAAAAAAAAGGACACCGTGCCTCTGTACTTGTGCTACAATCTTTTGGAATAGAAACCTACACTTAAATTCCTAACAAGTAGGTACTTTATCGCCGTCAGCTCCAAAGCATCTCAATTCCCAAACGTAAAACTTGTGAATCACCTGCTGCTTTGCAAATTTTCGAGAATAAATTAGCAGATTCGCCACCAGAACCTCGTCAGCATTTTCGCTGTTCAGAAGACTGAGGGGCGGGATTCTAACTATTTTCGACGATAAGTGATAACTTTCAAGTTGCTCAGCACATGCTTTTTCTTAATTTTTAATGAGGAACTACTTTGTTACAAACATTGTAGTGCGATATGACCTTTAATACAATATTCATTCACATTATTCGATATCTGCAAACGCTTTTAACTAAATGGTCTACCAAACGGCTTTGGCATTGAGATCGATTATGAAAAATGAGTATTTCAAAGAAAACATTAATACTATAGATTAAATTACGGCCGATAAGGAACGCATTGACTTTGAGTTAATACTTCTACACCATATGGTTTAATATCTATAGCATTATCAACCACAAACAAAATTACCTACCCCACGTTTACATTTCATGTACCACTTATTCAATGGAAAACTAAGTTGTATAGATGCATCAACTTAAAGATCATGGGCTTTAGTTTTGCTCCACTGATTTTCGCCCATATTCTGCTCCAGTGTCAAGGTTTTCTATTACATAAAAGTAGTTGTTAACGTGCTATGAATAACTGTTTTGGTTCTGAATTTAATCAATTGTTTAGCTATTACTGTGTCAACGAAAAAATACAACAAAATGGAATGATTGTGTTGTTACCGAACTGAAAGGTGGTGCTTTGTTATTACAGGTTCTAGTTATCTTAATTTCGCTTAAGGTAATTATTAGACCATTATTATGATAATATATATTGTCACTAATTTCTGTAATCGATGAAAGGAAATTTAATCATATTTTGTAATAATGTACACGAACAAACTAGATACATTGTTGAAATCCATTGTTTCAAAATGTAAGGAAACGGAGTCAAATATCAATTGATTATTGTATTTTATAATGGTGAAGAACAGTAGTAATTTCAAGAATAATTCAATATTATCATACGCACCTGACAACTTTCTCAAGCTTCAACTTATTTCAAATGCGTTCGTCTAATACCATTCAAGGATAAGAATTCAAATTTGAAATCATTCCTGTTCGATGTTTCTTCTATTAAGATAAACTCCTTCCATATCCACATTTACACCTTGTCGATATTCCCTATGATGTTGTGTCTATAAACTACTAGGTACTATACTGCGGATTTCTTTCCAGCCAGACGTGATCAAATTGATGGGCTATCCAGTGGAAGAACACAAAGTCATCACTGCTGACGGGTACATCTTGACCATGTATCGAATCCCGAACTACCATACGGCGACAAAGTACACAAAGTATCACCCTGTATATCTGCAGCACGGATTGGTTGCCACCTGTGCCACTTTCATAGGATTAGGAAGAGACTCTATAGGTGAGAATCAGTAATTAGTCTACGTGGAATCTTGGTTTAATCGTATGTAATAATCGGCACCTTCTGGCATCGGTTGGGGACGCTAGCAAAGAGTCAGCTAAATCAGTCTGACGTGGGAATTTAAGTGCTACTTAATTGAATTTATTTGTTGAACAGAACTAAGTGATTGCAAGCCGTTTGGAAACTGTTGCTAGGACATGGCTGTAATAAACAACAAAATACCCAAAAGGCACTGTTTCCACCAAAAGTGTGTACATGGCAACTCAACTTGAACCCCATTTCGTCTCGTGTTGGGGTTGTGAAAAGTCACATAGCATGTGCTTACTAGATTGGACTAAAAGAAAGTCGTATAAATAAAATATAAAACTTGGTCAGATCAATCAATCAACGTATTTATTTAAGAAAAGCTCTCAATACATAACAAATATTATAATGTGCAATGAAGATCTGCGGATACTTCTTGAGTCTAAAGACCACTTTGGGTTCGCTATTCCCTCAGCATTACCGGACCATTAGCCTGCTATCAGCTCCTTCTCAACTTGCTGAAAATGCGATCGTCCGTCACCTCAAAAATTTCTCGCCAGACGATTCGGCTTTGGATCGGAGCATAGTACCGAGTTACTGACAGGCTTGTGGAGCGAATAACTAAGGGATTAACTCTTAATAAAAGTACTGGAATCTGGCTTATAGATGTCGAAAGCATGGGAGCCTAATATAACAGGGTTTCCCTTTTTGTCTTCTAATCTGAAATCCTTCCTTGAAGGTAGAAAGTTTCGGAACATTAACACGGCCGGTATGAGCCGATGTCTCTTGGTGTTTGATCCTTGAACCAAGCCTCAACTCGTTGTAGATCCATAACCTCCAGCAACTGTGAAGTCTATCTCTGTGCTAACCACACTGCATCGATTCCCTTCCGTATCTCCTTTCCTTTTCCTTTTTTGCCTTAACATTGTCTAGTTTTTGATACCATAACCCATGAGTTAGGGTTCTAGGGTACGATCCGCTCTAATAACCGAAGATGACTTGAACGATCAGTGACCAATAAGTGCATAGTTACTCGTTCTTGATCTTAATAAGCCCAAAGACTTACTGCAGGATGACAAAGTGACATGCTAGGCACTTTTTAAAAGAACGGAATCACAAGAAGCTATGGAAGAGTTTGGTTCACGGGGTACCCACTAAAATATTCTTTTCGCAGTGAATGTCAAACTTCGATTGAGAAACTGTAAGGTCTACAAACATAGGTCAAGATACAGCCGATGACCATGTACGTCCAATTAGTTATACAACTAGGTCTCCATATTGTTTTTGCGCCTGGGGCAATTATTATCATTTGTAGGCTGGAATTATCAACAGAAAACTACAAATTCCACTTCACTTTGATACATATTAACACAAATATTAACAAACCGGTACACATATTTAATCATAAAAAGTTTTAACCACAATTTGCCAATATTACACATATTAATAGGCAAACAAGCAGATATAATATTTCCACGACCAATCACAGATAAGCTTCGATTTTGCAATTATTTTGCAGAGCGAAAAAGCCTAATCTGGGCGACAGTCACTACTTAAACTTAACCCAAAAACACCAAAATTCAAATCAGTTTGCTATAGGCCTGTATCTTTAGATTGCAATGTAGATTTATTCTCAAAACCAGGAGGGTCCCCGTGGACTGTTGTTACCTGCCTGTCGCTAATCAAGCCGTGGTGTTTGAGGTACCCCAGAAGCTCCCGCTATATGCACATCTATGTCATATTACTTAAAGCAGAAGACAAAGCTATACGCACTTAGTTGTAAGGGTCGGTCTTAGATACTTTTTTTGGGGTAGGCCGGAGATGAGTAAATTTCCAGTTTTCTGTGAATGTGCCGGATTCGTAAGGTATCTGGAACTAAACAGAAACTGTGTTGATGTCGAGCGGCAAGAGTAGTCTTATGCCTGAAAGTTACTTCCGCATAGTGTAGGAAACCGTTTTAATCAAAGGAACTCGGGCATTGGGGGGATGACCATGATGGAGCTGGAAGCATAGATGTTGGCAAGCATTTCTGCCTTAGCTCTTGAGTCAGTTACAATCATACCATCCTATTTTCTGAAGAAGCTTTCAACATTTTAATAAGGTCTCATTATTTTGGTTTGTTTTATGTATGTTGCCTTTTTTAATCAATCTACCTGTAGGATTACATCTTAAACATCTTAAGCTGGTTTATAGATATCTATAATGTCAAATTAGCCTGGCTTATATTGAATGGTTCCAAGATAACGTAACAAAGTGAACGTTTTCAGCATTCATGCTGGCCGATGCCGGCTACGACGTCTGGTTAGGAAACTACAGAGGCAACGAATATTCCGAAGGACACATCAACTTGACTGTCTACGATCAGGAGTATTGGGATCATGGGTAAGTCCCTTTCTTTTTTAATATTTTATAATAGACCTCAAATATTGAGCCAGTACAAGTTCACACTCATTACTTTAAATTGTTTTTCGCCTTGGTTTAAAAATTATATTGTATCAAGAAACATTTGAACCAAAAATGAATGTTCTTTGCTTACTTGCTATGGATCAGTTTGGCCGTACTTACAAGAAATTTGATATCGTCAACTAACGGGTGATTTTTTAAGAGGTATAGGATTTGATTTTCAAAAAAAAAACAAAAAATTTGAAATAACGATTAAACATCTATTTGACTCGATAGAACGGTCGATATAATTTAATGTTTAAAGATTATTTCATGTAAATGTTGACCGCGGGTCCGCTTTAGATGGCCCATGCGCAAGATCCAATTTTGACACACTCTCTCCAACATATCGGCCGGTATCTCACGAATAAATGCTTCAATATTGGCTTCCAGTGCGTCAATCGTTGCTGATTTATCCCTGTAGACATTAGCCTTAATATGGCCCCACAAGAAATAGTCCAACAGCGTTAAATCACATGATCTAGGCGGCCAATTGACGGGCCCCAAACGTCAGATAAACTGTTCACCGAACTCGCCTCTCAATAGGGCCATTGTTTGGTGTGCGGTGTGGCATGTGGCACCGTCTTGTTGAAACCACATGTCAGCCAAGTCTAGCTTTTCCATTTTGGGCAAAAAAAAAGTTTGTTATCATCGCACGGTAGCGCTCGCCATTCACAGTTACGTTCCGGCCATTGTCGTCTTTGAAGAAGTACGGCCCGATGATGCCACCGGCCCATAATCCACACCAAACTGCGATTTTTTCGGGAAGCATTGGTAGCTCTTGCAATGTTTCTGGCTGGTCTTCACTCCAGATGCGGCAATTTTGCTTGTTAACGTACCCATTCAACCAGAAATGAGCTTCGTCGCTGAACACAATTTTTCGATAAAAATGTGGATCTTCCTCCAACTTTGCCAGCGCCCATTCACCAAATGGGAAAAATTGTGGGAGGTCGTGTGGCTTCAATTCTTGCACCAGCTGTATCTTATAAGGTTTTACACCCAAATCCTGTCCCAAAATTTTCCACGTAGTGGAGTAACAGAGGCCCAATTGCTGCGAACGGCGGCGAATCGACATTTCACGGCCATCACTAACACTGGAGGATACAGCCGCAATATTTTCTTCAGTCCTTACTGTACGTCTGCGTGTTGGTGGTTTAATGTCCAATAATGTAAACTGGGTTCGAAGTTTAGTCACAAGCTTCCGAATAGCTCCCTCAGTAGGCCGACCAAATTGCCCATAAATTGGAAGCAGTGCTCGATGCACTCTCTTAACCGAGCATGAATTTTGATAGTAAAATTCAATAATTTGCAAGCGTTGTTCGTTCGTAAGTCGATTCATGGTTAAATTATAGAACAAACTGAACAAGTTTGACAATGACACAAGACACGATTCACGCGCTATCTGTCAAGAACAGTGTTGCCAAAAAGATACTAGCAAAAAATCCCCCATTATCTATTAATCAAAATTGATTCGCGATCATGTTAAACTCGAAAGGTTGAAAATAGATATGATACAACCACTTTTGCAATAGCGAGGACAACGTGCGGCGCAACGGCCTCAGAAAGAGCAAAAGAGAAATCAGAAAGAGTTTTCACGTTTTTTTTTTGTAAGACATCTCAAGTACTGCCTGTCATGTTCTAAGTTATTGTCGTTCAATTCAGAAACACGAGTTTGTTAAAGTCTTTTTCAATTTGCTACATTGCTTGAGATAAGAACGCCACGAAAATACGATGTGAATGTACTCGCCACCAGCATCTAGAAGACACTATTTCATTATTACTATAGGAATGTGCCACCTCCAGTTTTTCAAATACGATTTATAAACAAACAGCTTGGTTCACCCACTCGGCGCGCGATACCTGGGTTGAGTACTACCTAATCTTCTGCTGAAGACTGGACCGCTACCAGGAAAATTTTCTTCTTTTCACGTCCCTAACTTCAATTCAATTCAATAAGAAAAATCCATTTTGATAAATTAGAACGAATAATTGTATTAGGTACATTTGAACGAAGTAAGGGATATTTTTCTTCAGATCGTTAACACTGATGTGACAGGTAATATCAACGGAAGGCGATAAGAAATTAATGGATATATTGATACCTTAGGATAACAGACTATCATTAACTTTAATACATATCTTTTATAGTGTATTGAGTGATTTATATGAACTTGAGCGATATACGTTCCGTATCCTACAGCTGAAAGGTGTGTTTCTCAGAATGATATGTGAATGTAGACAGATTTTATGCCTTCGGTGTAAGGGAAGGTAAATGGTAAGCTGCCACTAATGATTAATTATCTAAAACATTATTTTTATAAATCTCTTGTAAAATTACGGCATCCAAATTATCGTTTGGTAATTGATTGATGATTGGGCGCCAAGGTCCCTCGTTGGTCTCCCATAAGGAAGAAAGTATTCTAATTTATTCCCTTCTCCACCCTTGACGATCTCTGGGTATCTGGGCAACCACTTGTTATAGACCCACTCACCAAGACAACGTTAACCAAGAGCAAGCGACCTATGGATCCCACTGATGAACGATGCCTTATAGAAGAGCTTTGTACGTACTGACACATCATCTGGTTTTGAGAATTGATGGTGTCCAAAAAACAAAAAAGTTCCAGTTTATTTCTTCTTCTTCGGCCATTTATGTGTCGTTTCAATACTAATTTATCTGAAACACTAGTGTGCGGTTAAACAGCAGAAGAATAAAATGAAGAAGCACTCTCTGTTCGCCCTAACACATAATGTTTATAAACACCGTTCGAAGTTATCGTTGTTCAATACAAAATGTACAACTGTGTTGACGTCTTCATGAAATTGGAACATTCAGAGGTTCTCTTGGTCTTGTATCATGCCCACCTCGACGTTTCTTCAAACGGCGTTTGTACGCGATTCACGAACCCACGCGGCGCTGGATGTAAGCGTCCAAAAAAGGTAAACTTACCGCAAACTAATGACACATTTTCACGCGTATGCAGATTTGCGCAATAGTCTAATCATATTAGCAGATTAAAAATGAAAATGAGACCACACTTAAAAAGATCCGACTAATAGTGAAAATGTTATAGCCGAAAAACGAGGCAAAATGCAGGTTTTGGCACTTGTTGGTAATGCAACAATAATTTCAGGCAACTACTGGAAATTCTTCAAATCCGTAGGATTCATACTTCTAAATAACAAAAACAAAATTGGAGTATATTGGTCAAGTAGTTTTTTGAGAATTTCTAATTGTTTATCCCAAAACACCTGTTTTCCCGCCTTCACTACTAGTTTATTGAGCAAAACAGGATTCGTTCAAAGAGAATTTAATCGCAAAATACACGCGTTTACCTTGCTGATATGAGTCACAAATCGTTCCGAAAGATAAATGTTATTTTTATGCGACAAACAAAGGTGACGTCTTTTTCTTCTAAGCAAATTTAAACATTTCGTATTTGTGAGTAATTAAACAAATGCGCTGCGATATTCGGAAAGCATACGTTAATATATACATTTTAAAACAAAGCGGATGTGTTTATCATCTTTTGTTGCGAGTTACTCCCCAACACGAGATGTTTGAATTTGTTTAGAAAAAAAAACGTAAACCATCCTTTTTTGCATCAAAACAACATTTATCTTCCGGAATGGTTTGCGATTCATATGGGCAAGATAACCCTGTATATTGCTCATTAAACTAGTAGTGATACCCGGGAAACAGGTGTTTTGGAATAAACAACAAGAAATTTTCAAAAACAACTTGACCAATCTACTCCAATTTTGTTGTGGTTATTTATAAGTACGAATCCTATGAATTTGAAGAACTTCAAGCATCTGCGAGTGCTAAAACCTGCTGCTTGCCTCGGTTTTCGGCCATATCTTTTTTGCTATTCGTCGGATGTTTCTATGTGTGGACTCATTTTGTAGGTCTCATAGATACCTAGAAATCTTATATAACGAGTTTCTTCGTTCCTGCCAACACCTTCGATGAATCCCAAAAAAAACGTTTTCTCATTCTTTGTTGTCAAATAAAAAGTTTTCCCACAAAAAATGTGTACTCATTTTATGCGTCCATTTTTTGAATACCCTCTTGAATAACTTGCAGCAATACAAAAGGCTTTACAATTATTCGCGGACCAGTCGTATTTTCGACTAATATGATTAGACTACAGGCCTATTTGTTTATGTCAATTTGCACAAATAGAACCAAATTGGTGCTGCCGTTCTTACGTTTAGATTAAAATGCACAAATTCAATACAGTTAGCATACGAGAGTCAAGTGTGCATAACCTTAATGATGGACCAAGATGACCAGTCAATAGCAGTAAGTTTAAACAAAAAGTTACAAGTTTCATAAAAGGAGTGATGAACGTGAACTTATTTAATCAAACAATCAATATAATTCCCAGGAGAAGTGCAAATAGTATGGGAATAGTCATATAAAGACAAAACGGTTCAAATTATATGCAATACTAATGAATTGCACTCAGCAAGACTCGACAAAATAGCCATATTATGAAACATAATGAGCCAGATGATGTTTTCATCTACCTGCACATGAACTAGACAACATGGCCAGCATTCATTAAATTTGTTTACGCATTTTCATTCCCGATTTATAGACAAACGGCTCAGTCAGTCTAAATACCACAAGGACGCTCGTTGTATCTTTTAACCTGATCTTTTCCTGGGAGCATCGCCAGACCGGATGGTGCAATTTCTTTTTCAGAGCTTGATAACTCGGTTGTCTTAAGATTTTGGGAGTTGCCAACAAAATTTGCGTATTTTTAATTGAACTAAAGGAAAATGAGAGCCTTAAGGACAATTTGGGTCGTCGCTGAAACCGAATCCAAGGTCCGTTTAGCACGTTTACAACCTGTTTTCGGTATATCCACAGAATTTTAAAGGGTACAAAATTCGCTTTTTCCAGGATGGATGAAGTTGCCCTACTTGACCTTCCGGCCATGTTCGAGACAATTCTCTCTAATTCGGCCAAAGGGAGCAAAGTGATCTTCATCGGGCACTCTTTGGGTACAGCAGTGTCGCTGATGTACAGCGCGGAACGACCAGAAGAAGCCCGACGTAACGTTAAGATGTTGGTACTACTTTGCCCTGCCTACACGCTTGCACACATGATATCTCCCTATAGGTTGGCGGCTCCTTTTGGTGACTTCATATTGGTAAGTCTCAAAGCTCCCCAGTATTCTCGTCGCCTACGTAAGCAATGACGGTTTTAATTTCGTTAATCAGCGATCTTACAATTTAGTAAAGATATTGCGAATGATATATCCGCGTACACCCATACCTTCATTGATCTTATCCTTCTATACTCGCGATACAATACACAAAGGAGTCTTCCGGTTCTATGTGTAGTACCTTACATAATAGAAAGCACCCGGCAAAAACTACAACAATAACCGTTACCTTGGCCCAATGATGTAGACAGTAAGTTCATTTTATAAATAAATGTATTACGTAATACGAAATCTTGGGCAAATACAAATTGTTTATTTATAATAATTAATATTCAGAATATATCCAAGAAGGTTGACAGTTTTAATAGTATTTCTGATACCAAGCTGTACGGCATTCACAAACATTTCGTAAATGAGATTTTTGTGTCATTTGGTTGCAAGCAACGATTTTCTATACTTTAATCGGGAATATCGATATACTTTTGATTTTGCTGAGGTTTTTTTTTTGTTCTGCGGGTCCGTATAGGATATAGGATAAACCATAGTATATGAAGGAGAATTCAAACAAAACAGCTTAGTACAGATGTTGTTCTGAGGTAATACTCTAAATTTTCCTGGAAAAACTGACCTATAGTTATGGTGAGGTCACTCCTGCGATCTCCATCACTAACATAGGACATCCGTCATAGGGCACCTGTGTTTCTAAATTGCAATACTATTATTCAAATATATCTAGTTTGAGTATGCTATATTCGATTATACTGATTAGCGTTACATTTACACTAGCCTAAAGGTAAACCAACGATCATGATGTTTCCTACTAAATTCCACAAATATACTAAGTGACATATAAATCCGAACACCCAGTTTAAATGGTTTTATTTTAATAAAATTTTGTATAAGTACTTAATGTAGCATAATAAGTAAATGATAAAAATTTCAAAATGATTGCACTGCTTTAAAGCCCTTTCACCTTTAATAATGTGTGGATACACCCTGATGTGCTACGTATTCTCCAACGCGCCTAGGCATGCTTCTGATCACGTAGTCAATGTCCTCCTGCGGTATCTCATTCCCGGCAACCACCAACTCCTCTCGAAGTGCTTCTAGAGTCTAAGGAGGTCGTTGCAAATTGAGCAATCTCCTACCCATCATATCCCACACGTGCTCAATTGGGGATAAGTCGGGAGATCTTGGTGGCCATGGTGTGACATCATTATGTTGAAAGAAGTCTATTGTGACTCTTGCAACATGTGGTCGGGCATTATCTTGTTGGAAAGTTGGATCTGCCAGGGTGTCAGGATAGGGTAAAAGATGGGGTTCTAGAACTTCGTGGATATAACGCTGCGCGTTCATGTTACCTCTGATGGAGATTAAAGGTGACCTAGAACCATAAGCTATAGCACCTCAAACCATAACTCCAACAGTGCGATAAACATCTCTTTCAACAAAAAACTGTGGATTCCTCCGTTGTCTGCACCACTCAAGGCGATTACGTCGGTGTTCTCGAGTTAAAGGGAGGACCCAGTGTGGCCGGTATGAAAACAAGCCAAAACTTCTCATTCGTCGGTAAACACTTCGCATGCCAATAGGTCTTCCGTGTTCTGCAAACCATTCATTTGCAATGGACCTGGTAGTGGAGAAACGGTCCCTTAAGGCCAATAATCTTAGGCGGCGATCTTCACGGTCTGTTGTTCTACGGCGGCGTCCAGTGCCCCTTGCTCTTTGCGTACGGCCTTCTCGAAGCCATGCCTGACAACACCTAACCACAGAGTCTACACTTCTTTGCACTCTAACTGCAATTGCCCGAAAAGAAGGTCCAGCTTCCCGAAGTCCCACTATACGGTCCCTATCAAACTCACTAAGTTGACGAAATCGTACAGGTCTCCGTACTCTAGGCATCGTAACCGATCGTAAAGGATGTCAAGAACCAAAATCCGCCAACGTTGATTCTTTACTGCGGCTGAAATATTCATTTTTAGAGCGTTAGTGAATTCAAAAAAAGCAGTATAAAAACCGGAATGTCCAACTGATAAGGCTGAAAATTTTTTCACTTGTTATTTACAGTAAAATAGATACATTCACCAACTTTTACTAAAATAAAACCATTTAAACTGAGTGTTCGGGTTTATATGTCACTTAGTATACATATTTTGCCTTAAAATTATTTATGAGTCTACTCAAGTGGAAACACGGGAAAATCCGAAATTCTACAAGGAGCCAAATAAAATCCTTAGTTTTTCTTCATCAAAAGCTGCAGCTCCTTGATTATCTTTTTTTCGCCTATAATCATAAACACACGTTTTCTTATTTGTTTGAATTCAATTTCGGATAACCCCGCATCTTTGGCTGCAACATTGGAAAAAGTAGAAAATCTACTTAAATATCCTCAACCGGCGCACAATTGCGCTGTTGCAGTGTCCGTCCGTCGTTGCTCGACGGCTGGCGAGCTATCACATCGCACAAAATCGGGCCGTTCGATTGCCGTTTCAACTCGGCAGCTATCTCGATATCTCGGCGTAATCTAGTTAAAATAAAACCATTTAAACTGGGTGTTCGGATTTATATGTCACTTAGTATACAATGTAAATAGAAATTTTTGACGCTGGTTGACCGTGTTTGCGTTCTGCTAGTATTAAAAGCAGTTTTCCAGTATTTTCTTGATTGTAGAGGAATTCAAGAAGCACACTTACATTCGAAGTTATACCTAACGCCATTTCTTATTTCTCACTCGTGTTCAAACATTCCGAAATATAATTTTTATTTGTCAAACTGACATAATGCAGCTACCAGGATACAATTTCGTTATTTATTTAGGTCTTTTGTTATCATTATTTACCTGGCAAGATAAAAGCTACTTCTCAATGGGACAGTGCAATCAATAATGATTTTCCGGGTTGGTGGTAAAAAAGCATTACTTATATTCCAAGGATCGTACTCGGATTGAATACCCGGACCCAAAGTGCCAATTTGTATTACAGTGTTGGTACAAATGGTAATGCCGATGTAATCTGCATCAAAAACCTGCGACGAACAAATTAGTGGAAAACTTACATTCTTCTTACCGCAGACGCGACTATTGAAGAACATCTGCCATGATAACGGCGGCCAAGACATGCACATAAACAGGAGTGACGTCATAGATACTGAGAATTCACTTTCTCAACGAGATGACCAAAGTGTGAAGTTGTGAAACATATATTTTATTGTAATGAGTTCCTAATGTTATGCTAGAATTCTGTATTTAATTTGAGCGAATTTTTCTGTCAACCATAAAGTTCTTATATTAGACACATTAAAAAGTCCCCATTGTTGTAGAAAAGAAAGAGAAGTGTTCGAAACCGCAACTGCAATTTATGTGTTAATAATAAACAGGGGTTTTTTCTATCAATTCAAACCTCAATCTAGCGGAACTTGACTCATAACTGAACAACAATTATAGTTATGAAGTCAAATACCACAATCCCATACTACCAGAATAACACAATAGCGTCTGAGAATTACCTGTGATTCAGTTTCACGTATGATAGTCATTGGGAAAGGTCCATGAGTGTGTGCCGTTTTACCATCTTTTCCTGATAACCTATGGCAGGTATTTTAAGTGAAATTAATTTCCAAAAACCATTTCAATTACTATGGAATTTTACAAATTTTTTGAGCTCTCATGGCATCTCCAAACAAGTCTCAAGTCTACCGGTTTGTTAGGAGCTAGAATTCGATGTTATGTAGTATATAAGCTAAGAAACCTTTGGGTACATGGTTGAAAAATGTATATCAAAATTGTGCGTGAGGTTATATGATTAAAAAATAAATATTTTACCCCTGGACGTAGCAATCAGAATACTTGAAAAAGTAAACTGTCCATTAGAAGCTCAGTTATTTTAAACAAAATTTTGCATTGTGCTCTTTCAGTATGAGCTTTATATTCTAATTTTATAAAAATTAGGTACATCATCAACCAACGTATAAGTAATTATATTTATAGCAACACTGAGTGATAGTTTGCGGAAATTTTTTATACGGCGGTGTTCCATTCCATTGCAGATAATATCCTGAACTCGTGCGTACTGTGAACAAAAAACGTTTTATTGCCATGAAACCGCCCGAGTACAAGATAAATTAATTAGCGAACATTACCAATGCAAAATCAAATATCCATAGGCGCACAACGTGAAAAGATTGTAGACGTACAAATTGATGATGAAATTGTTTCCGGTCACTAGGCAGACATATTTTTTTCAGGAAACGAGTCTAACGAAAAACGTAATTTCTTGTTCTCGGAAGGGAAAATTAAAAAATCCCTTAAAGGAGCTATATTACTTCAGCTGAGATACATGCGTCGGGCTGTACTTCAGTACAATCTTAAGATTTTCCAGTTGTAGATATATTTGGAGCAACTAAATGGTCAACCAATTAATTTTGACATTTTTTGAATTTACGAGGATTCATCTCTATGCTCCGAAGACCCTCGTGCAGATGTGTATTTGATGAATCTTGTTGTGTACTTTTATTCTTTGGATTTTTGCTATATACAGGGTGTCTCAAATTCGACCCTCACCATTGGGATCTCGGAAACTGTAAGAGATATGAAGTCGTTTAAGTGGTGGCAAAGTTACTTATTTAAGTAATCAACAAAATGCCGCCTAGAAAGTACTACCGGAAAGAGATGGAAAAACCGAATTTCCCCAAAATCGTTTTAATTTTTTACTGACTTTAATAGTAGTGGGATTTCAAATTAAATTGCATATTAACATTGACACTTTTTCTGCTCTACAATATGGTATCATAAGAATTCCAATATGACGTTTCGTATCTTGTCCTGTATTGCCGACTTCTTTTTCTTATGGACGCCATATTGGATTTATGCGCTGAGTTTTTGGTTCTGATTTTATAACTGTATCATGTGTCATGCATTGACATTGCTAGCCCTTGGTTACGCCAGAAAAACAGAGTTTTCTAGGTAGGCTTTGAGTAATATGGTTGGT